CACACTCCCCTCTCTCCTTTCTCAAAAAGAAAAACACAAAGAAGCAGCAAGGAGCTTTTAGATGCACACTACCCTAGAGGCAGTTTCCCCCCTTCAGAGACAAAAAAGGAGGCAGCCCCCACCCCGCCCCGCCCCACCCCCCTGCCTTCTCTCAGTGCCAGGCTGTTCTCTTCTGTCTTTTCCCCTTCACTACGTCCATTCAAAAAATCGAAGAAGAGGAGCAGGAAGAAAAGGCCACGGGAGAAACCCTGGGCAACCTGGCTGTCCTCCTGGGGTCGCGGACGCCTGCGTAATCGTCCTCCATGTTTGGAGTGTCACTCACATCCCTCCCCAAAGAGCCAGGCCCAGTTTTTCCCCCATAACTTTTTCTAACACAAAAGGGGGCCAGGGAGGACCTTCTCCCCCCATCCTGGTCACCCAGGGTGACCCAGGCCTCCTCCGCAGACTGAGGAAAATGGCCACTCTCTGAACCACGCACTGACATTTATGCTGCCCTGCTCTGTGCCACTTTGCTGATCTCCAGCCTTGGGCACCTGTTTGCCCCTTGGCTGGAGGTTGGCAAATTTCCTTTTCTGGCCGCCACACCAAGAATTCCCCAGCCAGCCAGCACAGCCACCGGCCACGTGTTCGTGGCTGGGCAGCTCCAAGAACTGTAGCCACAGCACAGTAACTCTCCCGAACTCTACCAAGGCAAGGCTTGGGGGGGGGGAGGATGCCTTTGTTAGACCGCTAAGAGCCCACTAACCACTTTCAACCCCAGACAGGGTCTTCCTCAGGCTGGGCAGCACAGAGCTCTGGATGGATGGTGCAGCAAAAACAGAAATGCTCTATCAATCATGGTCAGACATCCCAGCTAGTTTCCTTCACTTTTACAACTTCTAATAAGAGACCCTCTATGGACACAAGAATCTGGGACTCTGCCCCTTTGCACCTCCCTCCCCCTCGGTGTCCTGGGAGGCTGGCGCGCCCAGCACCTGTCTTTTGTCATGGCCACTTCTATGGTCAGATGGGCGTCCACTTGTTCTCTTGCTCAGAGATTCTTTCATTTGCCCTCCGAAGAAGGCAGAGGGACACCCACGACAAAGGTGGCAGAGGCCGTGGTCATTTCAAAAGCCCTTGACCGATGTGATTGTCACCCTCTTTCTCTCCCTCCCTCCCTCTTTCCCTCCCCACCCCTCTACCGGCTCTAACTGCTATGCTCCACACATCTGAGGAAGTAGGCTATAAAGTTCAGAAGCTCACTTGGAGGGGAACCTGTCATTCATTAAGCGGGAAGAAACTCTTTTGTTTTTATTTCTCTTATATATAAAAGAGCATCATAGAACTGTAGAATTGCAGAGTTGAAAAAAGAAAAGGGGAAATGAAAAACACTGTAGCACCCTAAAGACTGTTTTATTTCATTGTGAGCTTTTGTGGATACATCCACCCCTTCAGACAGGAGGAGGCATTTTTTAATCTTGGTGTCATTTTCCCCTGGACTGCACAGACTGACGTGGCTGCTTTGAACACCGGAGTTGGGAAGCACCCCCACCCCCCCCATATCCCTGGCTGTCCAGCCTCTACCTGGAAACCTCCCATTGGAGGAGGAGAGAGCCTGCCACCTTCCAAAGGCAGTCCGTTCTTCCACTCAGGAGGTCCCTCCAGATTTCTAGTGGAAATTGCCTTTCCTGCTACTCATTCCACTCTTACCTTCTAGAGCTGCAGAAAACAAGCACGGCAGCCCTTCCTCACATATTTGCAGATGGGCATCCTCGCTCAACCATCCTTTGCCCTGGACTAAAAATCCCTCCCCACTCCCAGCTCCCTCCCCCCACACACATTACTCTCCACACCCCTCCAATGGAATGGCCCCGGGGAGGAGTGCATACGCAATATAGAGTCCATAGCGATTCCGCACATCATAAGGAAGGATAAAGGTTCAATTGTGCCGCCCAACCATAAACGTTAGGAAAGCCACGTTGTTGGACTCCAACCCTCTGACACACACACTGGCTAAGGGTTCTTATCCAAGGAAGCAACTCTTTCTTGCCATCCACACGTATTCCTGCCAACACCGGCAAAGGGAGTCTGTGTGCGAGCGCTGCGACCACAAGCAGGAAGCGGTCCTTCTCTGTCAGGCTCCCATCAGCTGTTTCCTCTCCTGTCTCAATCAAACATCCTTACAAACCCTCTGCCTTCCCATTCTCTCTCTCTCTCTCTCTCTCTCTCTCTCTCACACACACACACACACACACACACACACACAAATGTGCATGCACTAGGCAGTGTTACATCCCCACAGGGGATAAGAGAACTGGCAAGCATTCTGATAAAGGGTTTTAAGCGTCACTTTGAATCTTCAACATGATTGAGATGCACAATTAATCTAATCCAGTTAGGCCTGGAT